ACTTAGAGATGTCATTTCGGCGTCCAAAATCTTATGACGGCTTTAAAATCTCTTTTTATTCTCAATTATAAAATTTAAAATGTTAAAAATGATACAGACAAGCAGATCAAGAAACAATTAAAACTCGTGGAAATAGACGGTCCAGATGTCATAAAATGCACTATTTTTTTGACTTGAAATTCTTTTTTTTCTTCATGTCCGTTTATCTCAAGGTCGAGATGATCAATTAGAGGCTAGAACACTCTCCATTGTGGGATTTTTGAAGTATACCTTACTTCAACAGTATAAGGTTGCAACTTTATATAAAAAATTTTCTTGTTATATTGAATGAGATGTTAGAGAGAGAGAGAGAGAGAGTGAGCCATAATTTGAGTCCATTAGTAATTCCGTGTGAAGGTGGGAACAAGAGGAGGTGGCCCACGCTTGAAATACAAACCAAAATCAACAATTTTCCTTTGCCTGCAATACAAGTCATTAAGAGAAGCCTTCCACTTAACTCCAATGAACTTATTTCTCAACAATTTGTTTTTCTTCTTTCTTTTTTTCTTGTTTTTTTGGTTGAAATGCCTACTTCATTTCACTTTTTTCTTCAGAGCTTTAAGTGGAAGCGAAACTATATTGTGATTTGGTATGAGTTCGGCCTCAGAAGAATCAACTCATAATCGTGATCGGGCCGGCACGGGCCAACTAACAAGAAATTTTCTTCTAAAATAACAGATTTTTGGTTGGTAAGTAGGAACTAAGCAAGTCCCTTGACCCTTCTCTCTCTCTCTCTCTCTCTAGAAATCTCTCTCCCATTCTAAAGATATATCCTTTCTCTCTAGAGAGGAGAGAGAAAAGGGTCTCTCTTTTCTCTCTCAAAGAGAAGGGTCTCTCTAGAGAGAGATGTTGGTTGAGAATGCAACCAGGGTATAGAAAGTTTGGGCAATATAAAAAAGAAAATGGTGCAGTTGGCATACAGATGCATCCATAGCTGTAGAGGTAAGGTCCGCCTTCAAATTTTATTATGGTATATAATTTTGATGTAAAATGTTCTTAGGATTATCTCAAAATCTATTTTTATACCTAATTATAAAATTTTAAATTTCAAAAATGGCTAGAATCAAGTAGATCTATAAACGTATGAAAATCTTGAAAATGGACGGTGTAGATAATATGTTGTAAAATGCACTATTTCTAAGACTTAAAATCTTTTTATTTTTCATGGTCATACATCTCGATGTTGAGATGATCAATCAAAGGGTTTTTCAACATTAAAACTACTTTTTCTGATGGATTTTTGAGGTGCACTTGTAGTTTTACAGTATAAGGTTGTATCCTACAAATTTTGTATATCTTTGCTTCTTTATCTATTTCTTTCTCCCATATATTTTGAGAGGCTAATGGGGTTGTTGATGTTTGGCTAAAAGGGGTATTGGCTTTGATTCTATTATTGTTTTTTCTGATGTAATTTACTTTTAGCATTTCAATAAAATATTAAAATATTACTAAAAAAAAAAAGGTTGCGTCTTTATATAAACTTTTTCCAAAAGAAAATAAAGAAAGATTCAAAGGCTATCTAAAACTTCAAGATGCACAAGCCAGGAAAACCTTGACCTCTATCTATTGGTTTGTTTATTGTTTGAAAAGCATAAATCAAAATAGATTTGGTCAAGTTCAAATTCTAGATTTTAGCTTAAAACAAATGATTTGAGGATTCATGGATGGGACAAATCTACATAACCTCATTGTATTAGGTAAGGCATTTGTTATTAGACAAAGACTCCTCCAAATTGACATTTGGCTTTCGTTTTCTTTGTTGGAGTACCATGCGGAGAGGGAAATCTTGTAAGACCAAATAATAATGGGTGAGTTTTGTATAAGGTGATAATGTTTTTTTTTTTTGGTAATTCAGTGGGGAAAATTGATCCTATCTGTTTTTTCATATAGATTAGGGAGTTAGATTTTTTGAAAGTGTCAGTGGGTGGCGTCAATAGGATTGGAAATCACAACCTGGTAACTAGGTATGGGGGTGCTACCACCACGACCCAGCCTATTTCCTAAGTGGACCTTTAAATTTTGCCGAAATATATAGTTTTGGTTTCAGAAATCTCACGATAGCTTCAAAATTCATGTTCAACTCTAATTATGAAAAGTAACATTAAAAAAGATATAGATCGAGCAGATCTATAAATACTTAAAAATCTTAAAAATAGATGGCCAAGATAATTTGTTACAAGATATATTATTTTTCTATCTTCGAAACACTATTTTATTATTTTTCTTTATATACATCTTGAGGTCGAGACAATCAATCATAAGGTTTTCTATCTTCCAAACACTCTTTTCTATTGGACTTTTAAGACGCACCTTACATCTATGCTATAAGGTTGCAACCTATAAACTTTCTCCAATGATAATACTTCTAAACCTATTCAATCGCAGTCTCTATCAAAAATCTATTTTAGAGATAGATTTTAGATTTAAAATTTGACAAGTTAATAATCTGGTCAACCACCTTCATAATATAACATGTCATGGATCTTGAACTTAAGAATTCGAGCTTTTTCAATTTTCTTTTGGATTCTCATTTTAACTTATTGCAACTCATCACATATGCATTATTCTTCTAGCTGCAAAATTATTCTGAAGTAGAAATGCACCTTAGAATGTGTTTTCAAATCCTAATTTCGTCTCTAAAATAAATTTTAGGAAGATGACCGCTTTAATTAGTAACTCATGTAAACCTTTTGCTTTGTCTAAAAATGAGGTACACACTATTCAAATGCAGTCTCCTTCAAAAATCTATTTTAAAGATGAACTTTAGTCCTAATACTTCACAAATCTATAATCCCAAAGCACAAAAAAGAAGTTTATTTTGATATTAAAATTTTTCTTTTTCACAAATTTTCATGAATTATTGGCTGAACTCTTCAACCCATAAACAAATAAAAAATTTCTGACTTGAACTGTGTTACAAAAATAATAATGTCTCCAGATTAAATAGAGACCAAATATATTTGAAGGGCGAGATCTATTTATCAAAAAACTCAAAATTTAAAGTTTGTCTTTTGATAATAGTGTCTATTGATTCCTGAGTGGTTTCCAAAATTTTTGACAAAAATAAATAAATCTCCCAAATAGGCCTTTTGACTGAAGGAATATTTGCACATATATTCCCGCGGGAGCATGTATACAGGCTCGCAAAAAACTAAATCCCATTGAAACGAAACTTTTGAGTTTTGACAATTGGGGCGGGCGGGGGAAGGCATTTGGGATAATTTACATAGTGTTTATGGCAATAATGGCATTCTAGAAGCAACGAGTCCATTTACCTGCCGGCTTGTATGACTCTTCTTTCAGCTTGAATAAGAAGGTTTCAAAAGGGTGACTTTTTGGATAAGGTGCCACCTCATACTATACAAGTAAGGTGTCTCTTTAAATTTTGTGGGAAGGCAAACTCTAGTACAGGAAACTGTGTAATAGCTTGAAACTCGATGCTCAATCCTATTTATAAAATTTATATTTTTTAAAGCGGCGCAGATTGAATCCATCTATAAACATTTGAAAATTTTGAAAATAAACGATTCAGATAACTTATTACAAAATACAATATTTTTAAAATTGAGTTTCCTTTCTTTTCTTTTCTTTATATATATATATATATATATATATATCGAGGTCGAGATCATTAATTGAAAGGTTTTCCAACTTTATAATAGGAGTGGCAATTGGGTCGGGTCGACCCTAACGGGATCTGGGTATATGTTTTGGAACCTAGTGGGCAGGGGTTGGGTACAAATGCTTGGACCCAAACTAGGTTGGGTTTGGGCCCAGACCCAAGTCTGGTATGGACAACTATTAGGTTGGGACGGGTCGGGTGGGGTCCGAGCTTGGGTTTAGGTTGACCCTGTATAAATATATAATATATATAATAGTATATGAATTATTTTTTATTTTTGAGAAATTATCATAAATATATCTTAACTTTTTACCAATTAAAAAAAAAAACCTCAACTTTCATAAGCCTTGTTCACACCTTTTTTTTTTTCACTTTTTATATTTAAAATACTTTGAGTTATCACATCATTTTAAATGTTGTATAAAATGGGATAGTCGTTAAGTACCGTGTTAGAGCTTTATAATAATACGACTATTGTGAATGCTGTTTTGAAAAAAAAAAAAAGGTTTTGTTAAGCGACATCATTTAAAGTGCTCAACAGTTTTTTATACTAAAATACTTTTGAATTGTAATACAAAAAGTTTCAAATAGAAGCATTTTTTTATCATTTAGAATGATAGAATGGATATTTTTATAAAAAAGTAATGACATTCTATTAATAATTAAAAACAATTAATGTATATTGTGAGTGATGTCACACACCATATCGATGATGCAATTGTCCATTATTGTTAATAAATGCTTTTGTTTTTATTAAAAATTTCTAATTTACCTTTGACTCTTTGCTTAAAATATCTTTAGATAAAAAGTTAATATACTATAAAATAAGTAAAATATCTTTAGACAAAAGTTAATATACTATAAAATAAAGTATCTAAATGTCTAAAACTGTTGAGTATTTTAAAGGTCTACACCACAAATGGTGTAGCCTAACAAAACCCCAAAAAAAAAACAATAAAAAAAATGTAGATGAAGTTTGTAAAAGTAGATGATTTTTTTTCAATTGGAAAAAAATAGCGATAAATTTATGATACTTTCTTTTTAATTTTTTATTTCAAAACCTAAGTTAGATCGTCTAAATGACTTGGACCCAACTTAGTTCTAAGTCCATGTAAAGCCTAATCAAGTCAGGTTCGGATCCTGGTCGACCCCACCCCTACTTTAGAAAAGTTTTTTTTAATGAATTTTGAGGTGCACCTTAGTTTAAAATGGTAAAAGGTCGTAACCACCCGATTTGAAATTTGATAGATAATAAAGAAAATTATAAAATTGCCCTAAAAAATAAACTTTTCCTGCACAAATTGCCTCTTCAAAATACAGTGGCAGCATAAATGGTGTATTATGAATTGCATCAAAATAAACGACAAAGGGGTGGCCAGGGATTCGTAGAGAGAGAGTGGAGGAGAGAGAAAGAGGAGAGCGAGAGTGGAGGAGAGAGAAAGAGGAGAGAGAGAGAGGGGATCGAGGGGTTTAACCCCTCTCTTTGACTCCTTCCCCGTCTCAATTTCCCCTAAACCCGCATCTCCTCCCGCTTTCTTCTCACTTCTGCAACTCTCCACCCTCTCTCATCTCTCGCTTCGTTTCTTTCTTTCTCTCTGTAAAGCCCAACCAAACCCTAAAACTTTGAAATTCTTTTTCCTTTCCTTTTCCTCTGCGCTTTGGAAAGTTAGCTCCGAAGCTGATTCATATAGCCTCATATCTACAATTTTCTCACTCCTCTCCCCTCTCTCTCGAGAACACTTTTCCCACTCTAGAGTTCTAAAAAAGAAAGAAAGAAAGAAAGAAACCCTAATGCGCTTCAATCCGTAATTGAAACTTCCTTATTGATGGGGGGAGAAGCTCCCAATTCTGATGTGTCGATAAAGATATCAGGTAGAGGAGGCGACAATGGAGTGCACCCTCTAAGGTTTTCGGATGAGAAGTCGGCCATGGCTTATTCCAGAGATGCAGAAGAGAGGAGGCGATGGGTTTCGTGGCTTGTGCCTCTATTTGTGGCTGTGAATGTTGCTGTGTTCGTTGTGGTGATGTTTGTGAATGATTGCCCCAAACACTCCGATCGATGCATTGCTACCTTTTTGGGGAGGTTCTCGTTTCAGCCATTTAAGGAGAACCCTCTTCTCGGGCCTTCCTCTTCTACGTAAGTGATGGTGTTTGATTCAATTTTGTTTTTTTGAGATCTCTCCCGTGTAGCTCTTAGAAGAAATTTGCTTCTAGTTTCGGGGATTCTCTCTCTCTAGAACTTTGAGGAAAATGTGTTTCATTGTCTCTTTTCCTAGTCCGCTGCGTTGATTCTTGAATTAATTTTCAGCTCCCTCTGTCTCTCTCTGTTTGATATTTCTGTTTGGTTGAACTATCTGCAAGTTTTTATATATCTTTGGAGGATTTTCTGTCATATGCATAAGCGATGGTTGACTTTTTGGCTTCTCTTCTATCTCACACTGCATTATGATGCATTATGATGATGAATTTTGAGGATGATGATGAATTTTAAGGATTTCACACGGTCTCTTTCTCGTATATTTTCTGTATTAGATTGTGCTGAACTTTAAAAACCTCTTAGGGTTCTCTCTCTAAGCGTTAGGATAATGATCTCGTCTCAATTTCTCGTCTATTATGCTAAACCTTTTCCTCATCTCTTTGAGATAATTTTGCTATTGACTCTCATGGCCTTTCTCTCTCTAACTTCATGGATCCTCTCCTTCTTATCCAAGTTTTACAATTGACTCTCATGCTCCCTCCCTCTCTACCGTTTGAGAGACTCTCTCTCTAGCTTCTTTAGTGGAAGGGACTTTCTCTCTCTAGTTTCAGAGATCCCTCTCTGTTTTCAGGGAATCGCTCTCGTCAGGTTCTGCTCCTTAACGGTTGACGTTTGGATCTGTTTTGAGGACGGTCCAGATTTTGTAGAAGGGTTTATCCATTTAGGCCGGTCAAATCTGAGCCGTACTAGTGGAACGAGCCCTGCTACGAGACAAATTACCATTTTGATAAAATGGATCAAATTACCCTGTAGCCACTACTGGATATCCATGCGAGGCTGTTCTGGTCAAACTTCTTGGGCCAAATTAAAACCTGCGAAGTTTGCAAGGAAGAAAATGACCAAAAGGCCCATCATTTACTGTATTGACCAAATTGCCCCTGACATTTTTTTGGGATCCCTAACGCAGGTTATTTGTGTATAATATTTTAGTAATTTCATTTAGCAGACAATAAAGGGCAAAGGTTAAATAAGGTTGCAACCTTAAAATGAAGAGTTAAAGATGAACCTAAAAAATCCATCATAAAAGGTTGTTTGGATGCTGAAAAATCCTCTAATTGATCATCTTGATATTGAAATGTATGAATAGCAAAACAAAAAAAGATTTTGAATCCGCGAAATAGTGTATCTTACAACACATTATCCGGACCATCCATTTTCAAGATTTTCATGTGTTTATAGATCTACTTGATTTGAAACATTTTTAGATTTTAAAATTTTATAATTAGAGAAGAAAGTAGATTCTAAGTCATGTTAAGAATTTTTGATATTAAAATTACATTTTGCTCCTTCACCTAGGAACACATGTGGGTGAGGGTATGGTCCTTGATATGGTTAGAATGACGGAGCAGGATTTATGTAGCCGACCCCAAATAGTTGGGATAAGGTTTTGATGATGATGACGACGACCTTGGAACACATGTAAATTCAGTTCTACTAAAAATGGCCAAGATAATACTGTATTTTGATGGTTAATAGTGGGGGTTGTTTTGATTGTTGAGATTTACCATATCTTGGTCCATTTTAGATCTTTGATTGCCAGATTGTGGTGAATAATTAGTATCCGTACTTCTAACATGCTAATAAAGGAGAGAACATAAATTTGTGATGAGAAAGAGGATCTAATTTCTGTGATGCACACAGGCTAGACCAAGAAAAATGAGAGGATGTGTCTTAACGGAGAATCAGTTTTTATGGTGAAGGATTTGAGGTTGTACTCACGAAACCCACAATATAATCCCTAAAAATGAGAATCCAAATCCAATATGCAATATCTTGGTGTTTTTTTGAAGGATTGATTTGTCAACTGAGACCTAGTACATTCCAGTCACCAGGTTTTTAACTTTTTAAGTGGAAATCAAACCAATAAATCAAGTTGGTTTTTGAAATTACTGAAGTCTCTGTATGTATGGTTCATGAACAGCTACATGCTTTGCAATGGCTTGATGTTACTTGACCTTCTTTCTGACTTAAAGAAAGGCCTGCCTCATGAACTTTCCAAAAGGGAGTTTTTTTACTTTGGATTTTTAAGTTGAAACCAATAAACCAAGTTGGTTTTTTGAAATTACTGTAGGTGCTGTAATGTCCATGAACAGCAATGTGGTCTCTCTCTCTCTCTCTAGTCTGAGTGCCCAATGACAGCTTGATTGTAGATTGCTGGGTTAGTTCTTACTGATTTTCTAGATCTGATTGCTGTATGGTTAATGAACAGCTACATGCTTTGCAATAGCTTGATGTCAACCCTCTTTCTGACTTAAAGAAAGGCCTGCCTCATGAACTTTCCAAACGGGAGTTTTTTTTACTTTGGATTTTAAAGTTGAAACCAATAAACCAAGTTGGATTTTGAAATTACTGTAGGTGCTGTAAGGTCCATGAACAGCAATGTGGTCTCTCTCTCTCTCTCTCTCTAGTGTGAGTGCCCAATGACAGCTTGATTGTAGATTGCTGGGTTAGTTCTTACCGAGTTTCTAAATTGGAAACTATTTTTGTATAAATTTTGTAGTAAATCGAGTCCGCACTATCCCAATTCAACCTGCTGATTCAGTGCTTGAATTATTTTAAACAAATGTCGTAGATCTGGTTAGGCACTAACACAGTTGTTCATTTCGAAATTTGAATGGTAGAAGATGGAAGTGGCTAGATTGAAATGAATTTATCGGATAATAATTTGTATTTTAGCTTTAAATGCTAATACATTATATAAAGGAAAGAGTTTATATAAGGTTGTAACCTTGAAATGTATAATTAAAGTGCACCTAAAAAATCCATCATAGAAGGTTGTTTTGATGTTGGAAAACCCTCTAATTGATCATCTCGACATCGAGATGTACAAATATAAAAAGAAAAAAAAATTGAATCCTAAAAATAGCATATCTTGCAACAAATTATCTAGACCGTCCCTTTTCAAGATTTTCAAGTGTTTATTGATCTACTTGATTTGAACCATTTTTGGAGTTTAAGATTTTATATTTAGAGATGAAAAGTGATTCTCAAGCCATCCTAAGAAATTTTGACACCAAAATTATATTTATGATAAATTTGGAGGTCTTAATTTGATTGTCTAAGGTTGCAACCTTATACAAACCAGACCCTTATATAAAGACTTTTTTGAATGTAGAGTTCAAGAACTCAATCCATGCATTGAAATAATGAGTTGCACTTTTTTTTTTTCTAATTTAATCTTTCCTTATTTTCTTTTACCATTTCCCTCTCCATATTTATATTTTGCTGTTTATGATAATACTTTGTATATTTAGCTTCACATCAGAAATGTTTTGTGTATTTAATCATGTATCATATGCTTGTTTTAAATAGAGATTCGTGTCCTTGCATGACGTGGTAAGTTGATTTTCCCCACAGCCTATTCTTCTTAGTTACCAGTCAATGAACCCTGCATGAACATACTAAATTTTCCCCAGTTTATGATGCAAGCATCGCATCTGTTTATTCATCCAGGACGTCATCCTTTTGCATGGTTCTTTATTTCATTCATGAATCGGTTGGAATTTGCTTCTGAGTTCATGGCGCCCCATGTGAAAGGTATAACAACATATCAAAAGTCCATATAGTGATGTTTACATATTTGAATCTTGTTTCCATGCCGACTGCATTCCATCAGTCCAGAAAGGCATCTTGAATGCAGCTATCATTCAGCTTGTGTCCACGGTCAGCTGCAACAATCATGTTATATATTGCATCTCATATTTATCTTTGTGTATTCCTTTTTCTGTACTGTGATATGAGCGATTATGTTTTTTTTCTGATGAACCATTTAATTGACATGTTACATTTGAAAGTTATTTATCTGTTTATTTGATTTTAAATTAAGCTATTGCTATTACAATAAAGGAAAATATACAATACTATTGTTTGGAGTGTTCAGACAGGTCATCCACCATCCGATCTCATCAAGGGATGGTGGTGGTGACCCATTGTCCCGCTGTAAAGTCATTTCTGGGAATAGCTTCTGACCTACACAGACTCGTGAAGGTATAGATGTTGGATTGGTTGTCAGCACACCAAACTGCACTTGTAGGGAGTATTATATCCTGTCCCCTAAAGTAATTATCAATATAAAGTACAAAGAGGCATGATGTATGTATCCCTGCAAGTAACTGTTCCAATTTCCTGCAGGCTGGAAAATATGGGTGCACTTGAGGTGAGAAACATTGTATACAAACACCAGGGTTGGCGCCTTTTCACTTGTATATGGCTGCATGCTGGAGTTTTCCATTTGCTCGCCAACATGTTAAGTCTTCTATTCATAGGGATCCGTCTTGAACAGGAGTTCGGATTTTGTATGTAACTAACTTATCACTCTTTGCTTGAACTCTCAAATTTTGCCTCATGAATTTTTGGCTTTTTTTTCTTTTTCTTGAAAGTAAATTAGACCAATAGTTATGGGGTTTTTAGTGCTTGGTCATGAAGCTGAAGTATTGGATGTATTAAAACTTAGGTTTTAAGTCTTTTTCTTTGTTTGACAATCCTACGGGGCCATGAATAATGAATCTTGAGTATGTTGGAAACATTAGGCTTCTTAGCTTTCCGCTGTGTACAGAATTCGTTTCACTGAGTTTTTGTGAGTAGTCTTTGATGCAATTATTGCAACCCAAAACCTATTGCTTTAGTTATTTTTTAAATTTGTCAGTTGAGAAAACCATTATCAACTGGGTAGGTTAGCAGGTAAATTTTTTTGGAACTCATGCGTCACCAACCCAGTGCATTTCAAGTCTGATTTGCATGCTAAGTTGCAGAATTTTGAGTTTTGCAGCTTTTTCTGTTGTATGCATGACTTTTATTATTATTATTATTATTATTATTATTATTATTATTTTGTTCTCTCTAAATGCCATGAAGTACTCTTTGGTCACAGCTTCCTCTGTATTTGTTTTTTGGTGTTATTATTAGATAGACAAACATTGTGCTTAGGAATTTAAAACTATTTTTTATCATTTTGAATGCCATTTTGAAAGAATTTTAAAAATATTAAAATATTAAGTCTTTAAGAAATTGAATTCTTCATAATGAAACCTTCCAACCTGTTGATAGAAAGTTTTATAGTAATTTTAAGGTGGAAGTTACATCCCGAATTTTATGAGAAAAGAGATGGGAGTATGTAAAATTATGAGGGAAATATGAAATATCAGGTTATTGAAACTTTCCAGCATCTAGAAACTCTATGCAGTTTTATGATGTGGGTTTGAGCCTCACTCTTTGGTGATATTTCATGTATAATATGGTTTGGGTTGAGGCAAGGAACACGAGAGAAATCCCCCTTTGTTGTCTTTCCCTAACAAATGAGGTGGAGAATCTGGAAAGGGTGAACCACAGTGTACAAGGGAACAATAACCAAGAAACAAGTTAGGGAAATTGGAAGCTAGAGGTTGTTTCTGAAAATTATAGCATGCTGGACAGTGGGAAATTATGGGATACATGAACGGGTTTTGAGGTTGAAAAGCATTGGCTGATGGAAGGAGGTTAGAAGTGATGTTCCCATAAATATAAAAATCTAAATTATCTTTCTGTTATAAAAGGACCTTGGATTAGTGGGCTTTGGGAGAGGCTTTCAAGATCAACTACCATCTAGTTCTATATTTTTTTCTGGTTTATTTTTTCCATACATCAGTCTGCAAGGGAGTCCTCCCCAAAAGGATCTCTTCACAATACTCAAAATAATCTTATTCTCTTCGCTCTATATTTTTCTGGATCCATGAGTTCCATATTTATAAAAGAAAACTACCCTAAAACCTGACTTGTTCTCTAAGAAAGCTTAGCTAAAATTCTTACCTTCATCTTAAAAAAGATAAAGTTCCAATTTTACCCCCTAATTCTCTACAAGTAAAAACGACACAAATGCCCCTAAAGAAAATTGAAAACCCAAAATAATCCCAAAATTTGTTTTTATCAATAATAAAATAGAAAACTAATTGCATCATTCTCTCAGGGTTGGGAGAAGCTCAACCATGATTCATTGTACCCCACAAAGGCCCATTGAATAATTAGTAATGTAGTCCCACCATTTGCCAATGTACTTTATTTTCTTTAATGAACAAATTAATCAAAATCTTTATGGTTAATTTGTAGTGAGACTTTGTGATGTTGAACTTTCTTTTAATCTCTCTTTCAAACTTTTGATGGCCAACCTTAATATCAAGATCATGTGGGCGTTCCTTAGGTTTGGTCCTTCCCACAGAATTTACTCATTATATATAGGATGAAACATTGGAGTTGGTAGTGGAGTTTGATTAATTGCTAGGGTGAGATTTGGTACCGAATCTACATAGTTGTTACTTTTGAGCACCTCTTCTCAATGAACAGTTTTTTCCAGTTCTAACCGCTGATTCATTATGCCGATCTCTCCTTGAATTTCTCGGATCTCTCCTCAAATACCCTTATGGAATGATTTATTCTCTTTATACTCTCGTGAGAATGTTGTTTCATAGCTTCTACCATTTGTGGCAATAGATCGTCAATCATAGTAGATTTTGGTGGCATTGTGATGGATGAATCTTGTAAAGGTCTGATACTAATTAATGTAGGGATGATGGGAAATAAAATAAATAAGCAGAAAAATAGAAGGAAAAATAAAGATTGAGAAAATATAACCTCACTCAGGATATACAAGGGAATCCACCCCAAAAGGAGCTCCAATTGATGCAGGGATGATGAGAAATAAAATAAACCGCTAGAAAAATGTAACATAGGAATAAAGATTGAGATAATATATCCTCTTTGAAGGTCTGCAAGAGAGTCCACCGAGAAAGATCTCTTCACAAGTTCCAAAATAAACTCTTTTTTTCTTCACTTTATATTTTTTTGATCCAGGAGGTCTATATTTATAGAAGAAAACAACCCTAAAACCTAACTTGTTCTCTAAGAAACCCTAATTGAACCCTAACCCTTTATCTTTAAAAAAAAAGTTCTAATTTTATCCCTCAATTCTCTACGACTAAAAAAAGACACTGATGACCCTTAAGAAAACTAGAAACCTAAAATAATGCCAAGCCCTACTTTTTATCTCCTAAAAGAATGATAAAATAAAAAATAAAAAACTAATTGCATCATGCCTACTCAATCAACTCGCACCTCCTAATAAGTGTTGTATTGGATTTGCGCCACATATGGCCTGCCCACCTAAGTCTACTCTCTCTCATCTTATCGCCTGCTGGTGCCACGCCTAATTTTACCGAATGTATTTGATCTGAATTCTATACCTTCTTGTCTTACCACTCATCTATCTCAACATCCTCATATCTGCTACACTCATTCTATGGATATATTATTTTTTGACCGTCCAACATTCCACCCCATAGAGCAAAGCTGGTTTCACAGCTGTCCTATAAGACTTGCCCTTCAACTTCATTAGTATATGCGGTAATAACATAAACTTCTGGTTGCACATCTCCACTTCGCCCACCCAACTTTAATTCTATGTACGACATTTTCTCCAATCTCTCTATTTTTCTGGATTATCGACTCAAAATATCGAAAGTGCTCTCTTTTTTGGTATTTCCTGGTTGTCAATCTTGACTACTTCCTCGTCTCTACTCCTATTATTACTAAACTTGCATTTTATATACTTTTTCTTGGTCCGGTTAGTTTTAAAACCTTTAGATTCTAAAACATCCCTTCAAAGTTCTCACTTTGTGTTGACACAGTTTCGGGTTTCATCGGTCAAAACTATGTCATCTGCGAACATGCACCATGGTATTTCATCTTATAGGTGCCTAGTTAAGTCGTCTATAACTGAGAGAAAGAGGCATGGACTCGATGCTAGCCCCTAATGTAGAGACATATTGTCGTTGAAAACTCACCTTTCTCTCCACTAGTTAGCACTCCATCATACATATCACTCACCAAGTCGATGTAGTGCCAGGAGATTCATTTCTTTTTCAAAACCCACCAAATCAAATATTGAGGTACTCTATCATAAGTTTTCTCTAGGTCAATGACGACCTTGTTCCCTTCGTCCTAAACTTCTCAATCAGTTGTCTAAGTACGAAAATAGCCTCGGTTGTTGACCTCCCTAACATAAAACCGAATTGGTTTTCCAATACACTGGTTCATACCTTAGTTGTTACTCAATCAGTGTCTCTCAAAGCTTTATAGTGTGGCTCATAAGTTTGATCCCTCGATAGTTCGCACAATTATGTATGTCACATGTGTTCTTGTAAATAGGTACCCCAATACTTTTCCTCTATTCGTCTGCCATTTTTTTTTTCTTAACACCTTATTGAACAGCTTGGTCAGCCAGTCAATGCAAATCTTCCCCATGCACTTCTAAACCTCTATCGGGATGCCATATGGTCCTAAAGCCTTTCCTATCTTCATCATTTTCAAAGCTTCCTTCACTTCTGATATTCTAATCCTACGAATGTATCTATGACCTCCGCCCTCATTTATGCTAATGGTTCCTTCTACCTTCATATTCCCATTGTGTTCATCATTCAATAAGAATTGGTTGTAGTTTGCAATTAGGGTTGAACTTGTTCTCCCTATCTGATATGAAGGAATTTTTATTTTTATTTTTATGTTTTACTTGAGCTATAAAATTGTCATATCTGATGTCCATCAATATGTATTGTCTTCGAGGGTATTTTGGTTTGAGGATTTTTTAAGCTCCAAATCATGTGTCTTTTAAATTGATCTTCAAGTGAGAACCCTTAAACAAACACATACACACATACACACACACGCACAAAATGATGATCTTTGAGTAATATAAAATGTTTTGAGAGTTTTAGGGTCCATCAAATAGATATCCCCAACTAAGTCATTGGCCTGCTGGACCAAATTCAAAATTTGATTTTGCAAGACTATTTGAACTTTTTTTTTTGAAAAGCAAGCTACATCAATATACAATTGAAACAACTGTGATAGTAATAGAGATGTCGATCTGTGTAAATCTTGTTTACTATACCCTCTTTTGTGGTAAGATGGTTGATTGGAGCCATCTTGTTAGCATCTCTATGGTGTCAGAAAACATGATCTCCCATTGGCTCAGTCAGATTAAAATTTTCCTTTATGGCGTCCAAACTGCAACCTTCATTGTGCTGTTGCTTTATTTTCATCCATCATAGTTTTCATCAAGTCATCCCTCAATTATCAGTGGGCCTGATAAAAGAAATCTGATATATGCCAGCAATATTGAGTTTTGAACCTTTCACTGTTTCCAGTGATACAGACCACACCATAGTGACTTGATTCCAAAGTGAGTAGTAGTCAAATCCTAAATAAGGTTCTTTTTGTGGATTAAGTCATTTACTGTTTGTTTGGCATTCAGAGCTTCCCTTTATGGTTGTCTTCCGCTGCTCAATTACTTGAATGCTGCTAAACACATGCAAAACTAGGGCCGAAGAATAGTGGATACTGCAGGTGGTATCTAGAGTATTATCAGACGCTACAAAGGAAAACAACTTTGTTTAAAGTGGTTTAGTTTTGATGGGTCACAACCAAGAGAAAAGTACAAGGTTAAAAAGTATAGGTTACTATGTTTATTTTATTACCATCTTCTGTTTTATGCATACGATCCTTAAGAGTGCATAGAGGTTTTGATAATTGTTCAAGGTTTCAAATTTATGAGTGATTTAAAAGGATACCTGGGGATGTAAAATATGGCATCATATATTTGAATGCTCTGAAAAAATTATATGTTGAAGCCCGGGCCTATGCAGCTGATTACATAGAGATGGATGTCATGAGATGTACTGGGCTGTTTTTTTTCCTTCTGACAAGTTTTGGGGGAGAAGCATTACTTACTGAAAGCTTGGTTCCACAGTGAAAATTGGGCTGTTATATGTGCTTGCTGGGCTTGGTGGAAGCATGCTATCTGCACTTTTTATCCAGTCAAATATATCTGTGGGTGCATCTGGTGCGCTTTTTGGGTTGTTGGGGGCTATGCTTTCTGAGCTGATCACAAACTGGACAATTTACGCAAATAAGGTACTTCATGCATTTCAATCTTTTCAATTCTACAAGATAGTGCTAACAAAAATTTCATGCTTATGGCTGACTTAAGGTCATAATCCTTATTCATACTCACTTATGTAATTACTTGTTTTCCCTTTTCAGGTTGCAGCACTGTTGTCTCTTGTGCTGATTGTTGCGATCAATCTTGGTGTAGGAATTCTGCCACATATGGACAATTTTGCACACATTGGAGGATTTATTTCAGGATTTCTTCTTGGATTTGTTTTTCTTATTCGCCCTCAATTTGGATGGGTTAACCGCAAGAATGTCCCTCCTGGATCTGACATGACCTCAGCAAAGCCAAAACACAAGATATATCAATATGTATTATGGCTTGTTTCTCTCGTTCTTCTAATCGTAGGGTAAGCTGTGGAGATCTGCTTATCATTTTTCGGTAGCTACTGTTGTAAATGTGTGTACTCTATTCATGCTTAGCATCTGGAAAGGATTTGAGGGACATAATGTGTACTTACTTTCTTCTTTGCATTTTCTACTATATATTTGTTTACCCTAGTATTCTGCTGCATGTTTGTAATTCTTTAGTGAAAGGTGGAGTTAATATCACATGCTTTACAAAGAAATACTAAGACAAAAATAAAATTCTTGAATTGCAAAAATGTGATTATTGTCACAAAGTTGACTATTTACCCTGGATTTTTAAATAATATAGCGCTTGTAAGGTAATGTGTCTTTTTAGGAACAACTTAGCAAAACAAGTCTCATTTAGAAAAAAAACATATGTGAGCTTGGTTAAGGTATCAAGAAAACAAAAATCATTTTCCATGCGCAAGTTAGAGAGAAAGACTTCTCTAGGGATCTTTTCTTCTTGAGAGAGAGAGAGAGAGAGAGAGAGAGAGAGAGAGAGCCTTCTCTAGGGATCTTTTCTTCTGGGGTTTGTGCTCATTTAACTTGGCAACAGAATTAACACCAGTAAGAATTGATTGGTGGACAATTATGGGTGCAGGTTGATGCACATGATACATGTCTGAGATTTTGTGCTTTTATCTGTCTTTTTTTCTGTGCTTTTATCTGACTATTTTTTCCTCTTAGCTGCCAATTATTACACCATGTCATTTTCTCCATTGTGATTGCTAGGCCGTGTTATATTTTTGCAGGTTCACTGTTGGCTTGATTATGCTCTTCCGAGGTGTCAATGCAAATGATCATTGTAGTTGGTGCCATTATTTGAGCTGTGTGCCAACTTCCAGATGGAGCTGTAATGAGCGTGGAGTTTATTGCCTGGTAATGTGTACAAAACTTGTAAGAATTAGTTTACAATTCTGAAGCATAGACTCTAGAAATGCATTTGCTTTATTGTTATTTGTGGCGTTGAATGTTTTAGATTCTTTAATATCAATAATATGATTTGTGGTTCGATAACTTGTTACAGTTAAATTATGAAATTGGGTATGTCCTTGCAAAAACATTTAGTTAGGTTTCAAACACTGGTTTGAAAGTACTTAGGATAGTGGGACAACCTTAGAGCTGATGTAAGGAAGTTTCTCTAGTACTTTTTTCCTTAACAGTAACTTTAGTTACCAAAGATCTCTCTCTCTCTCTCTCTCATAATTGCTATTCTCATTCAGTGCTTCAGAAAAGGGCATGTTTTAGTCTCTCTCCAGTAGAGCAGTTTCTTGAGTAAAAATAGCTGAGAGAGGGAGAGACTGCGTCACAGGACTAGGTAAGCTTTCAGAACTTGCCGATTGCTTGCTGATAGTAGCCATCATGAGCCAAACCTTAAAAAATCGCCAAAAAACTCCATTACAAATAGTTTGAGACGTTTTAGGTGTTTGAACCAAAATAGCAAATTTTGACAACTTTTTGGAAGCTGTGGTCAACACTTATCCATCTTTTGGAAAATGACTTGAAGTTTTAATCAAATATAAACTTATAAAGATTGCACCCTTAAATTCTTTTGAAATTCAAATTCTGATCTTTATTTGAATTTCCCAGGCCTTACTATTTCATTTATTTTTAAGCAAACTACATTTTCTTTCCACATAAGTAATACAAATTTATATTCATTTATTGTAATTTATATTCATTTATTGTTCTATCTTTTTGAACAGAGGGAATTTTGTGAAGTTATATTGTTGCTTCTATGTCAAATTGTCTGTACAGTTCTTACATTCCAAGCTTTTATTGAGTTTTCACAAGTTTTAGTCAAATTTCTTTGGGAGCATTTTCTGATTTTTTTTTGTTTTGAGTAATTTTCCATTTTTTTACCCAGTAATGATTGCCAATACATAATTGACCTGGGTGAGAGGTCTTTTTGGTTTTTATTGATGTCTAGGCATCTAGAAAAGCACTAGGGCCTAAGTCCTATGCACCATCAAAGCAGGTCTGAAACCTATAAAGACAAGTTTCTGCAATACAAAAGTCAAATGTCCCCTATGTACTTTTCATATGATAAGACAAACTGAGAATCAAAACTAATTCGATGCTCTTGTGTTTCAGTCGACCCAGACAGAAAATCAGCTGAACTTGACTTGCCAAAGCAATGGGAGGAGTGGTGTGTACTTCATACCAAATGCATCTGATTCTCGTATTAAACAACTGTGTTCCGAACTTTGCAGCTGATCGTTCTCTGTTCGACCTTCATGAAGGGTCAAGCATCGTAGTAGAAAATCTCTCTCTCTCTCTCTCTCTCTCTCTCTCTCGCTGTGCTACCTTAGGTAAAGAGCTTGAGTCTGAATCTAAAGTAGTTTCTATGTACCCGTGCCCCATATGCTTGACCATTGTACATTTCCAGAATATTGTCTTCTCATCTGTCTCAATAATATTTATTTATTTTTCCTTTGGTATTAAAGGACATCCTTTCTCATGTTTTAATGAACTGTTTGGTGCTTTAATTGGGAAGGATTTCTTACTATAGTCGAGAACTAAGCTGATGTGAGGATCGAATTTGATTTTGTGTTTGATATATAAATTCAATATATTTTATGGCGGAAGATTTTTGGCAAATTTAAGAATGATCCTATGAAAACTGAAAATGCGCTTGGGCATGGTATATAATTCGTGGAAACTAGGAAATGTGCTCTTGGGACGGACAAGAATTTAGGCTCATATCTTTAGTTATGGCACGTTTGGTTTGTGTGAAAATTGGTTTGTCTGAACATGTTTTCTAGTGTATCTTTTATGCATCTTTTCACACCAAGTGGTAACTAATTGATGTAAAAATAATACTACACTTGACCGCATGGGGGAATTTTTTCAGTCACGTGAACAAAACGTTTCATTATAATGTTATATTGTGCTCTGCATTGTGATCTTAGTCAGCAAGTTTTTGGGCGAGTTAGGGAAAATATCACTAAAAGGTCTAAATTATCGTACAAAATTAGTAAGAGGACCGAAAAGATTCCATCTACTAGGGTATACTTTTTGAGTTACATTTCGTAGTTTCCATTGCGAGGATACTTCAAAAATTTATTACAAATTCTTAAATTACCCGTACTCAGGTTTGATAATCTTGAACCATCAGAGGTATTTGATGTTTTTGCACACTTAAAAGTGCTTCAAAGCAAATTATCAAAATAACCCCAGTTGTTCATGATTAGGAAGAACACCTATTAAATGACTAAACACCCTTAATTTTGTATCGCTAACCTAAACAGAGATAAGAAGCATTTGGTAGTTTTATTTTTCAACAAGAGTAGTGTAAGCATTTTATTTTTCAACCTTGGATAATCAAGAGTATTTTGTAGTTCGGCTCGAACCAGTTAAATCGGTCAAATTATCAAAATGTCCCTCGTTGTTTACCATTCCCGGGCGAGTGTCTATGGAAATCCTTTTTATTTGCTTTGTTTGATAGGAGGTCATTTTTTAGGGTTTTTTTGGGGTGAGGATTTGATATTTGCAATTTCTGGGCCATTTTTTGTCAGGTTTCAGCTTTTGGGGGGTGATTTTTACTGCAATGTTTCGGTTGCTTTTTGGACTAATTTTCAAGCAAGTGTATTTTTACTGCCATTTGTAGGGTGTTTTTTGGGTTAGTTTTCGAGAGATCTTTGGGCTGTTTCTTATTTCTTGTCAGCAGTTGGTGCGTTCGAGTTCCGAAGAAGATGGACTCGCGAGTTTGAAAGAAGATGGGTTTATGGATTTGGAGGGGATAAGGGGCAGAGAGCCGAGGGGAAGGGAATCATACAAGCTATGAGAATCTGAAGTAATTGTCGACTCATATTTAGCAGGACTGGGTCGGCTGGGCTTGGCCAGCCTTGGCCTTGGTCCCTATAGGGCTGCGGCCCAGTAGGCCCTAACTCTAGCCCAGCTCAGACCAAGCCAAGGAGGCTCTGGCCCTGGCGTACTCTGACCCAATTAATAACATGTGAGTTCCGTCTGTCCAACTTTTTTTAAGGGTTTTGTTAAGCTATACCACTTGGTGATCTATATTTTTAATGTCCTCAACATTTTTTGACACTTAAATACCTTTGAATTGTATACGAATTTTTTTAGGTAAAGACATTTTTTGTAATTTAGAAGGGTAGCATGGATGTTCCTATAAAAAAATAGTGACATTCTATTAGTAGTTAAAAATAATTAATGCATTATGAGGGTGATGTCGCACACTATTTGGGTGATGTCATTATCCACTATTGTTAATAAATGATTTTTTTTTATTATAAATTTATATTTTATCTTTAATTAATTAATTAAAATACTACTAGACAAAAAGTTACTACAATATAAAATAAAAGCATTTAAATGTCAAAACATGTTGATGACTTTAAAGGTATAGACCGCCAAATGGTGTAGCCTAACAAAACCCTTCTTTAAAATACAATATATAATTATTCATTGTGCTTTGTCTTTGTCGAGGGAGTAAATATTGTGGTTCCCTAGGAATGCACTATACTCTTTCCCCAATTCTACAATAGCAACATGACTAATGGCCTAGGGCATGGCACCAATTTCCCCTTGCCCTCATAAGCTCACCAATATAAGCACTAGATGAATGTCTTTTTGAAGGTTCTATCAATTGATTGAGTGTGATTTAGAGACCAAAAATCAAAAGCACAAAGAGGAAGAGGATAATAATAAAGGATAAAATTTTGAGGAGTTCCCTAACTCATCTACTTACATGAGTCCTCCCTCCAAAATCTGTATTTGAGATGGATTTTGTATTTAAACGTTTGGAGTTTGAGAATCACCACCATGTGAACATCAACATATAAATAAATACATTTTAAAAAGTAAAGGGTGCGGTTTTTATAATGTTGCAACCTTAAAACCTCTAAATTTTATCATAACATATAATTTTGTTGTAAGCAATTCTTAGGATTATCTTAAAAACTATTTTCATATCTAATTAGAAACTTTTAAACTCAAAAAATGGTTAAAATCAAGTAGATCTGTAAGCATATAAAAATCTTGAAAATGGACGATCTAGATAATGTGTTGCAAGATGTATTATTTTTGGGATTCAAAAACTTTTTTTTTTTAATATTCATACATCTCGTCAAGATGATTAATTAGAGGGTTTTTCAACATTAAAACAACCTTTCCGATAGATTTTTGATGTGCATCTATGATTCTACATTTTAAGGTTGCAACCTTATATAAACTTTTCCCAAAAATAAAAACTAATATTTTTCTAATATGTTTTTAACACCGTTTGATTAGAGTTTTGGCGGGAACACCATTTCTCCACATTTTTCGACATATGCATATTTTCTAGTAATAAATGAGGGGATATAGCAGATCCCCCGAAGAGTGCACATGGTATATTTACTCCCCTCACATAAACGAGGTACCGAAAAAATATATTTTGACTTGAAAATTTAGAACCTAAAAGACATTATGCTGTTGCAAAGCATACTCTCCATTTACTCAACCATGTAAAACTCCATTTATGATTAACTTTAGTATCCAAAATTTGGGGATGTGACTTCTTCAACCCATAGAATATAATTTCAATAGACAACATTTTCTAATTGCATTATCTATATGCTTGAAAAAAATAATGTCTCAAGTTTGAACTGAGGTTGTCCAATTCTTGGATCGTACGATTTAAGTGTTAGAAAACACCAATTCAATATATATATATATATTAAATAATCATCTTGTTGTTCTTAGGTGGTTCCCAAAATTTCATATTAAAAAAATTCTTCGAAGTGGGTTTTCTAACTATGCCAGTAGATGTACACTATGCTCCCGTAGGACCATGGTATATACAATCATTTTAGAAATTATATTAGAATTAATAAATGAAGAGTAACATCTAGCTTAGTTTTAAATAAATTTTAAATATAATTTTAACATTAAAAGGTTCATTATACTTTTTTTGGAAAATTGCATGCACCCGTGAGTTGAACTTTTTAGGCAACCTCCCTCCAACCAATTTTTTTTTTTGCAACTTTTCCCCAAAAATACTTTTCTAGCAAATACCCCATGTCATAAAAAAAAAGGACCAAAATACCCTCTCCTAAATTTAAGGTCAAAAAATTTGTCCTCGATCGAAAAAAAGGTCACAAAATTTATCCTCGGTTTGGTACGACATAACACGGTCTGGTATGATTTTTCCTTAGTTCGAAAACTTTTAAAGCCAATCCGGCACAGGCTGTCCAACAATTCATTGGAAATAACAGTCCAGCATTGTGGAAATAGTGGTCTGGCGATTGCTTCACTCGGTTCGGCACTTGTATTTTTCGATCCTGACACTATTGGTTGAAGCCCCAACCCAGCAGTCCACATCAATGTTTGACCACAAACAATACAGGAAATGGTATTTTAATCTAAAACATATGCCTATTTTCCTTGGGAGGTATTTGCTAGAAAAGTATTTTTTTGGAGTAAAAGTTACGAAAAAAAGTTTGGTTTGAAAGAGGTTGCCCAACTTCGGGGGTATTTGCAATTTTCCCTAATTTTATCACATTTTAAAGGGTGCGGTTTGTATAAAGCCTAGGCTCTGAACAATCAAAGTAAAGCTCACCTTCAAAGAGTATCGAGAAATGTGGTTTCAGTATAGAAAATCTTAGTTATAGCTTTAAAATATATTTTTATCTCTAATTGTAAGAATTAAAGCTTAGAAAATAGTGTAGATCGAACAAATCTATGAAAACTTGATAATCTTGAAAATTGACAGTCCAAAAATGTGTTACAAGATGTACTCTTTCCGAAACTTGAAATCCAGTTTTTTCTCATGTCCATGCATCTTGATGTCGAGATGATCAATTTGAGGATATTTGGGCATCAAAACAGCCTCTTCTAGTGAAATTTTTGAGGTGGGCTCTAATTTGATTGTTTAGAGCCTCAACTCTATATAAACTTTTTTCCATTTTAAATAGCCTATTTAATTCAAATCACTATAAGTTTTGAGATTTTTCAATTAAACCTATAATTAGATGTCAAATATTTCACTTTTTACATAAATTTCAGTGAAGGAAATATTTTGTATAAGACATCAACT